CCCAACTCAAAGAATAGACGTAGAAACTTGAAAAATTAATTTCTTGCGCTTTCCTTTGATTTTCGTCTTGAATCTTCAATTCCTTGTGTTAATTCTATCTAGAGCTCTTGTTCAGTGTCACTTCAATGATAAAATAAGTGATAATAGCTTTATCGTGCATTTTGGACGACTTTTTGTTTATTAAAAGGTGCAAAATATTATACTATAAATAGTCAAGCAAGAAGAAGGAAAGAAAATCTTTCTTAGCTAAAAAGCTACACATGAGCATGGTATAAACCGTGCATAAGCATGGTAAAGCATTTTTTGGTTCAATCAGCCTAAAGCGTACACATGGCCTGCGGGCCTATGCGAATGCATGGCTTCACATTTTGGAACAATTGTGCAAATTGATCCCTGAACTTTTTTATGTTTGCTTTTTGGTACTTCTACATCATTTTTCATCTTATCTTCTATCCTCCTCCCATTGTCTCCTAGCACTTTTGAATATTCGTTCTTTACATCCAATCCATCTATTGATTATGTGTATCTCAGTCTCTGAATTTTGAATTTCTTGCAATTGAGTCATTTTTTCAATTTTTTTTTTCTCTAATTCAATCATTTTTATCAATTTGTACCTAACAAACACGTTACATATGAAATTAAGCCATACTTTATCAAAATAACAAGTAAATACTTTAGATTAAAGGACTAAATAAGTGTACAAATTATACTTATCAGCGACCTTCTTGTCCATTTTTTCATCTAGTATAATTTTCAAATTTTGATCACTGTATCAACTACGTCAAGCGAGAAAGAAAAGAAAATTGTAACTCTTCTTGAGGACACTTCTTGAACTCTTTTGTGCTATACAAGCCCACAAAAAAATTAGGAAACCCCAATTGATTTCATCGTTGAGGACGTTTTCTAACAATGGAAAGATGAAAGTCTTCAACTTCAAGAAGTTGGGCTCCAATTCGACAGAAAAGCCAAGACCTCGGTAAAGAATCCTCATCCTGGTTCCATCTCTAATGACGAATATGTGTCCAAAGTCCCCTCATACTACTTCTTCGTATAACTGGGAGATTATATTTTCTCTGATGAATCCATTGAGTTGATGATGGCTATGGACTAATGTTGGGGCTTTAATGATCAAACTCAACAAATGGCTTTGACCATTGAAAATTGAACAAGTCTTTGGAAGATAAGGATGAACAAATTGTGCACTTATGCGTTGACGGAGCTCCAGAACCTGTTGGCAGAAAGCAATCCAAAAAATGCCAACTCTCTGAAAACTAAGAACTTGAAAGTTCAAAAGCACCAACAGAAACAATAAATGCATGGCCAAAAAGCGATGCAAAATGTGTTGCTTGACACCACTTAATGTCTGTTGGTACTCGATTTGTTTAACAACTCCAACATATGATTGTTGACACTTATCCATGTCCAATATGGTGGTTCATTGTAGTCTTCACTAGTTTATGCCCAGTAGCCATATACTGATGAAATATAGATGCCGCTTGACTATCAACCCATGAAGTTGTGAAACTCGTGTCTGGTTGACATGCTAAAATATTGATGTAATAATTAAATTTAAAGTTAGGCTTAAAATTTTATCAAATAAATATGTTTAGTATGATATAGTGACACTAAACGAACTAGCTATGTTTTTTAGTTAAATATATGAAAATTTTCATTGTTTGGTATTGGAGCCTTTGTGGGATGATGATAAATATAGAACTCTAAAGTACGAAGTATTATCTTACAAAGTCCGAGATTGAGGTTGTTCACCTAATCCCTCGTGGCTCTCCTTCAAAAGATTCACACATTCTTAAAAAGGTTGAACCCCAACCTTAGGGGCTCCCACCGACCCTGCCCTGGGTCATTGTGGAGGAGGTAAATTACAGGATGTGCCTCCCAAGAGCCAGGGTGGAGAGCATATGGATAGGCCAAGGCTGTTAACCCATATGGTAACTCTCGCTTGCAACAAAGCCAATTCCACCTTGCGAAGAATCGAACTCTGCACACTGTCGCGCTGAGCCCTATCCGCCCTCCCTTTTGCCACTGGGAGATATGCCCTGAGGGCAAGATTCACACATTCTTATATTCATGCTAATGAGCCTATTCTTTCGAATGTAAAACGTATACGACAAATTCATTGCATCCAAGATTTTTTATTCTTTTTTAAAAATGTAAAGAAATTAATATATTTAAATAAAATATATCTCTTGACATTGTCAATCACCAAGTGCAAAACACAGGTATCTTGTACCAGTGTTTTAAAAATAGACTTAGCCTCTATTTGATATCAATTAAATCAAATTTTTGTTTCTTCAAACTCATCTTCAGCCACACATTTAAACAATAAAATATTTTACACGTAAATCAAAAATTTTTCCTATTTTTTAATCATACTTTCTTCAAAAAAATTACTATTCCAAAACTCATTTTCAAAAAATAAAAAAATAAAAAAAATCCATTTTAATGGATGTCAAACGGGGGCTTAGTGTTCACTCAAAAAGATAAAGAACTGCATATTAAAGGATTTATCGATGGTAAAAAAATAATAAAAAGTAAAAAAGATAAAATAAAAAATCAAGGTGAAAAGGTTAGTTATTGACTTCTTTAGACAACAATCAAATTTTTGAAATTTTACCTAAAATAAAATTGTTTTCCAAATTTTCATATCGAACCCATCAATCCAATATGATTCAAATAGTATTGATATTTTGTCATGAGCTTGTAAACATACACTAAACGTTCGTTTAGGAAATGCTAGTTCATTGTTACAACATTTTCCAATTGTATTTGACAACTTAATTTGTGAAAAATAAAAAATAAAAAAATTAGAACTAATTTACGTCATCAAAATCTATAATTCTAACTTAATTTTACCTTTTAAATTATATTTGAATATTGCAACGAGTTACATTCAGCATGACCAACTTATGACTTGAGTAATTTATCAAAATCTTAATAAAAGAATTTTAAGTTTTCTTAAAAATATAATTTCTTCAGAATTGTGTGGACAAGAAAAACTTCAATCGGACACCCATAATACACAAGTGCTAGGACCAATGTTTTAAAATCCGAATCAGATATTGACTCGAAAAAGGAAGAGAGTCAAGGATTGAATGGTCGAACCAAAGTTAAATTGAGGTCAACTGTATTAATTAAATTAATAAAATGTTATGTAGATATGTATTTATTTTAAAAAAATACATTATTATATAAATATAAACTTTCCAAAATAATAATATTAAGTTTAACACTTGTTAATTTTTATTATTTTTTTAATAATCATTTCATCACAAAACTAAACGGGTCAAAAAAAGTCATTACCTACATGCCTTTGTTTGAATCCCATTTTTTCAAAAATTCATTTTTTTCATAACTCATTTTCAATTTCAACCACATATTTTTGAATAAAATAATTTTAGCCCTACTTTTTTCAAAAAATTCACTATTTAAAAATATATTTTTCCCCAAAATAGGACTAGGCCCCAATAATGTTCTAAAATATAAATCCGCAAATATACCTTATGTTATTTTCTGCAGGCGGCTTCATTCCCAATTTTAGCCCCTGTTTGAGTCTCATTCTTTGAAAAATATATATTTTGAAATTGTATTTTGACATCATTTTAACTACATATTTTTTAATAAAATAATATTACACGCAAATTCTAAAATTTTTCTTATTTTTTAACCACACAATACACTATTCAAAAATTCATTTATATAAAAATAATGGGGCTCAAACAAGGTCTTAAACGTCTTCATCATCTTTATTTTCTCAAGGCACCTGCTTCTTCCTCCCCAATTTTTAATGGAGGCCTCCTCATCTTCATTTTTTCAAGGCGATTTTCTTTTGCAGATGAATTGATCGATAGCCTTTCACATAACTTGGACAAATTAGAGAAGCATCGTTGGCAATATTTTCTCTATGGTTCTTTCATCTTTTCCTTTTTAATAGCTAACTAAACAACTTAGCAAAATCGTATCCGATTCATTAGTTTTTTGTTAAACTAGTTATTTCACCCATTTTTATATTTTCAGTTATAAGGCCATAATCAAACCGGTTTGTGGTTTTTCAGTCAAATCAATCGATCTGGTTAGATTTCCAATATAATTGGTTGGACCAACCATTTAAATCATGATATCTCAGACTTTGAATCATTCAAATCTTGACATCCAACATCTAAAGTGGTAATAGAGAGAAGCAAAGTGGACCTTGTCCAAGGTCGGAACTAGCCTCGGTGGCCTTGTGTCTCATATCATGAGAGGCCTCAAAAAAATTGAATCATCTTCTATTGTGTTAGATTATGAAAGTAAGTAAACTTCTACGGTGATGGATCACGATTCAATTTCTTTTCTTTTATTTCTGATGTGATTGCTGTTTTTATTTTTATCAATTTTTAAACGTAGAATATTTTGGACAATTAATGGTAGTCGCCACATCCATGCTTTGCCGACTTATCAAAAACAGAATTAATTCTTGGACGAATCAAACGGTGAGTGAGTATAAACTAATATAATGTTCCTTGTCACGAGAAACTATTTTATTCGGTCAAGTTTGATGCTAATATGCTTACTAAAAAAATTATGAGTAGGGGCCTTATGATAATTTATTGTATAGGATTTCAAAATTTTCAGAGTTGATCCTAACCTTGGCATTTGAAAAGATAAGAGAATGAAACAAAGTGAACCTCGAACGTGGATGTGTTATTAATTGAGTGTTTGTTTGTTAGGAATTTTGATAATTGATTTTTTGACCATTAAATATATACTGCGAGAGAAAAATTAAAAAATACTGGTTTGTAATGTTCAAGAAAGTAATTTTAATTCGCTTAAAATTTGTATTGAATAAGCACTGAATTGTTAGAATCATCTTATGGAAGAGGTTTCCGTGTGGACAGACCAACACACGAGGTTGGAGTTTTGCAAATGAACTCGGTATGACTTGTGGACCATGACAAATTAACCATGAGATATATTTTCTGCCACTCCCAAAAAAGAAAAAGAAAAGAAAAAAAAGGGGGAAAAATCACTATCCACTTTCTTTCCTCCTCAGTCTACCCCTACACCCCCCGATCTCCCAGCCATTTCTTCTTTCTTTTTATTCTTGATTTCCTCAAAATTGGGTAAAAAGCAATCCACTCGTGCTAACGTTGGAGTGGATTATTAACAGCTTTGCAGATCGAACAAAGAGGTATACACACTATCGAATTGGGGGTTTTTGCCCGTTCTATTGTCAGATCCAACTAGAAATTTGTTTGATAGTTTTATTTACTATAGTGCACATGATGGCCATTAACCATTTCTATTTTTTGGAATTTGGAAAGCTTTAGATAGAAACTGTTCACACGCTCGTACTCTCTCACATATAATTTACCTCTTCTTTCAGCAAAATTCTCCCTATATACAGTGTGAAAAGCCTAATTTTGACTTAGCATTGCCAGTACTAAATTTGAGATATTCAAAATTGTATATCTAGGTTAACGTTCGTTTATTTTCTGCTATTCCTGTTTGGTCAATTGGGCTGGATTTCTCAGGTTTTTTCAGCATCCAAATGTCCGAGAATTCGAGGTCTCGAGTCACAATAACCCTCGGCCGCAGTGGTCAGGTAGACTCGTTATCGCACTTCTTTTGTTTATACTCATATCAGGTCGTATTTATACTGTTAGCGTTCTTGACTTCCTGTGCAGTTAAATGTTTTAATAATTTGGAAAATGCAAAACTGATCAACGAATTTTGGATTGAAATAGTTGGTTTTTATGGGTTTTATCATTTTCTAATAGGTTATGCTACATGTATATAATGATTTATATATATATGATGTGGTGAGATAAGATTGGGTCAGAACTTTCCCATTCTCTTTTTAACACCTTATTTGTATATAAACCATTATACACAACTAGCATTATTCTTTGTGAAATCCCATATTCCATTATTATTGTATTTTTATTTTTTATTTTTGGTCAAAAATTGCATTTTTATCAGTTTTATGTGGAATTGTTTGGATTCGATTGAGGTGCTGCTTTTGCTTGTCCACACTAATAACATATATAACTTGTATGTTTTGGATACTGTGGATTCTGCATTTAAGTATATGCATTTTGGAACTCTGCACTTGTGAACTTGGTTGAGTTCATTTTAATTGTCTTTTGCAGGTAGTGAAAAGGGCAGGGGATGCATTAAGTAATTCTTTTATTGATTCAGAGGGAACAGTTGGAGGCAAACGATCAGTTAGAGATAGGTTAGGAAGTGATTCTGATTCATCTGGTCAATTTAACATTAAGCGGTGAGTACACCATCTTTTGTATGAGTGACCTTATTTAGTATCAGCTACTTGTTTTACTTAGTTTAACGAGTTTAGGTTTTCTTCTATAAATGTGTTTATCCATAAGAATATTAATAGATATTTATACACTGAATACTTAGCTAAGGATAATGCTTAAGCCATTCTAATTTTTGTAGATCCATTCATTACTTCTTACGAGCTTGAAAATGCAATGAAGCAATGCAGTGTAATTGTGATATGACGGTTGGTAGGATGGATATTTGCAAGTTAGAGATTACTAACAGCTGTAATATTGTTTTGCAGACAGCGGAGAGATGGTAGTGCTGCCAATGATATTGATGGTAAAAGACATGTACTTCAGTCTTTGAAGTTCTGCTAAATTGTAAATTGAGTTTTTGGCTAACTTATTTTTTGTTAATTTTGGTGCTTTTGAATGAATAAAGATATTCGTCTAAGTAAAGGTGATCTCCGGTTCAAAATCCTGCAAAAAAGTAAACTGAAGCAACGTCAAAATGCCCTGCAGAATGGAACGGACCTTCGAAACATTCTGTCAAGGCCTGGTCAATCTTCATCGAATAGCCTAGGTATGCGGGCAAGGGTGCCTGAGCCAAAGGAGATGAGGCTGCAGCATACAGATCCTAGGGATGGTAGACAACATTTTCCAGAGACACGTGATGGTAGGCAGCTAATGACTATGACCAGGGATTCTAGACAGGGCACCCCTGACTACAGAGAACAGAACATACCTGGCCTTAGGGAGCAACGCATGCCTGACCCCAGGCAAAAGCGCATGCCTGAATTCAGGGAAGCTAGACGAAGCTTTCCTGAACTAAAGGATGTTAGTCGTAGCATGCCCGAGCCAAGTCATTCTACTATAATGGGGCCCATGCCAGGCTCAAGAACTGCAAATGCTGCGACCAAGGTGGATTCGGTGATTAATTCTTATTCTCCCTGGACTGTAGATCGTTTAAGACGGAGATCACCAGATGAAACTTTGGCTAGTTCTAGTGGTCTGTCATCAACCAGGAGAGATGGTGGATTACTGAGAAAGCTTCCAATTAGGGCATACGACGACACCAGAACGAGCACGTACATGAGCAAAGATTCTTTTGACTTTTCAAGGCCAACTAGCTCTTCATCTTACCTGACTAACCTGGTTCCACCTGCTGCACAGACGAAGACCAGGGCACCAGTAACTGCCCCACTTCTTCCAGGCAGTCTTTTACAGAAAAGCTCATATGCGGTACAATCTAGTACCTATCTTCTTTGCTCTCCATGAAATTTTGCTGCCTTCACTGCAACATGACTTGGATAGTTAATTTCCTTTAGTGGCAATCCTTATATATCTTTTCATTGTGTTCTATGTGTAGTTAAGTTGATATTTACATTATAAATGTGTGAAAGTTATGTTTGGAAGATGATCCCTGTTGTCAAATTAGGATTGCCACAATATTTTCTTAGACTGAGATGCCCTGATCACATGAAATAAATGACACCAAGAATTGAAGTCCCCCTCCCCTCCCCTCCCCCCCAACCACACACAGACGTAATTTTATTTAGTATCAGCTACTTGTTTTACTTAGTTTAACGAGTTTAGGTTTTCTTCTATAAATGTGTTTATCCATAAGAATATTAATAGATATTTATACACTGAATACTTAGCTAAGGATAATGCTTAAGCCATTCTAATTTTTGTAGATCCATTCATTACTTCTTACGAGCTTGAAAATGCAATGAAGCAATGCAGTGTAATTGTGATATGACGGTTGGTAGGATGGATATTTGCAAGTTAGAGATTACTAACAGCTGTAATATTGTTTTGCAGACAGCGGAGAGATGGTAGTGCTGCCAATGATATTGATGGTAAAAGACATGTACTTCAGTCTTTGAAGTTCTGCTAAATTGTAAATTGAGTTTTTGGCTAACTTATTTTTTGTTAATTTTGGTGCTTTTGAATGAATAAAGATATTCGTCTAAGTAAAGGTGATCTCCGGTTCAAAATCCTGCAAAAAAGTAAACTGAAGCAACGTCAAAATGCCCTGCAGAATGGAACGGACCTTCGAAACATTCTGTCAAGGCCTGGTCAATCTTCATCGAATAGCCTAGGTATGCGGGCAAGGGTGCCTGAGCCAAAGGAGATGAGGCTGCAGCATACAGATCCTAGGGATGGTAGACAACATTTTCCAGAGACACGTGATGGTAGGCAGCTAATGACTATGACCAGGGATTCTAGACAGGGCACCCCTGACTACAGAGAACAGAACATACCTGGCCTTAGGGAGCAACGCATGCCTGACCCCAGGCAAAAGCGCATGCCTGAATTCAGGGAAGCTAGACGAAGCTTTCCTGAACTAAAGGATGTTAGTCGTAGCATGCCCGAGCCAAGTCATTCTACTATAATGGGGCCCATGCCAGGCTCAAGAACTGCAAATGCTGCGACCAAGGTGGATTCGGTGATTAATTCTTATTCTCCCTGGACTGTAGATCGTTTAAGACGGAGATCACCAGATGAAACTTTGGCTAGTTCTAGTGGTCTGTCATCAACCAGGAGAGATGGTGGATTACTGAGAAAGCTTCCAATTAGGGCATACGACGACACCAGAACGAGCACGTACATGAGCAAAGATTCTTTTGACTTTTCAAGGCCAACTAGCTCTTCATCTTACCTGACTAACCTGGTTCCACCTGCTGCACAGACGAAGACCAGGGCACCAGTAACTGCCCCACTTCTTCCAGGCAGTCTTTTACAGAAAAGCTCATATGCGGTACAATCTAGTACCTATCTTCTTTGCTCTCCATGAAATTTTGCTGCCTTCACTGCAACATGACTTGGATAGTTAATTTCCTTTAGTGGCAATCCTTATATATCTTTTCATTGTGTTCTATGTGTAGTTAAGTTGATATTTACATTATAAATGTGTGAAAGTTATGTTTGGAAGATGATCCCTGTTGTCAAATTAGGATTGCCACAATATTTTCTTAGACTGAGATGCCCTGATCACATGAAATAAATGACACCAAGAATTGAAGTCCCCCTCCCCTCCCCTCCCCCCCAACCACACACAGACGTAATTATATTACGAAATAAAAATTAATAAAATATTATTGTCCAATTGAAATGATGAGTCTTGAGGCTGTTTACAATACTATACCTGTTTAATATTGTTTTCCATTGAAAATATTCAATATATGTGATGTTATCCATTTTTAAACATTGTAAGAATGACGGTCTTACTTCCATATCAACTATGAGGTTGATTGAATATACTTGGGCTTTTGGTTGCACTCAAATTGGCTGCATGAGATTTACCCTGGAAACATTTAGGCCGTGGTTGGTTTGCCGTTTTCGGGCCATTTTCCGTTTTCCGTTTTCGAAAACGCGGAAAGCGTGTTTGGTCCGTCATTTTCGAAAACGAGTTAAAATTTATAACTGAAAACGCAAAACGACTTTTTATCGTTTTTAGTGTTTTCAGTTATAAATGTCGAAAATGCTCAAAACATGGAAAACATGTTGTTTTCGGGGAAAACTAAAAATTGTTTTAAAAATGAAAATGCAAACCAACCACTACCTTATGTTCTACAAATGTTAAGTGAGTTATCGCTGTTCGTGAAAGTGCCACTGCATGATGTGGAAGTGGAATTGTATCTTGAAACAAGAAGAAAATTTGAGAAACTTGATAGTTTAAGAAACTATAATTTAATCGTAATGAATTGATGATTGAAAAATTGTATTAGCCTTTATTTATATAAGAAAATTAACCCCTATTTCTAACGATATAATTAAGTTAAACAATGTTACAAAAATGAAAGAAAACTAAAATCTTAAAATAAAACAAAAATTTAAAATAAAAGAAATAAAAATCCTATAATAATAATAACTAACTTTTATCATATTTATAGTAGGATTGTCTTATATCATTCTCCCTCATGTCGTCCTCAAGTTTCGTTGACGAAGAAAAAATAATTAATCAGAGAAATAGTGAAGAATTTCTGGCACATTGAATATTGAAGAAATATTCATGTTTTGGTGTACATTATATACTCAGGAATTGTCTTGTTTGATGCCAACTTTGCTCCTCCTTTTAATATGTACGCTACAATTTTAACTGGGATGTTAATGGAAATTTTCAAATAATCAAAGAAATTCTTGACAATGTTAATCGAATTGAGAAAGTCTTTGATATGTAAACAACCTTTAAAGGTGGGTTCAGCCATCCTCGATTTAAACTTCTGCCTACTCTGACTATGCCTATAATTTCGGAGGCGAATTGACCATGTTCATAAGTATAGGGGCAAATTGATCGAGTTTGTATACTTGAGGCCAAGCTGTAATTATCATCTTCATCCTCAAAAGAAAACCAAACCTGATGTCACTTTTGTGTTTTTGGTGCTGCCATTTACATGTGCACTAGTTTTTGGTCCGACACTCCTTGTCAAAAAATTGGGGCGACTCCATGCTGTCAAAAATTGTACGAAAATCAGGTTTATGTGGTTGAACCCTAGGTGGCGTATTCCTCATTTGGTGGTCGTCCCGATGACGGTTTGCTTCTTAGCAGAAGATGGGTTGTCGTTCAGCCTGTTGGATGGGTTTTGATGGATTGCTGTTGTCCCTGTTGATTTAGGTCATTGGCAGGTTGAACCCTAGGGTTGAATTCCTTGTGGTTTTCGTTAAGGTTCCAAGCTTCAAATTTGAAGTTATCTTCTGGCTGTTGTTCTTCACACGATGGTACATCATAAAGTTTTGAGAGTAATGGTCCTAATGGTCACCGGCTGAGCTTGTGGCCATCCATGTCTGAATTGAATGATGAGCACAACTAAGCTTTTTTGAACATCTTGAAGTATTCTTTCAAGCCCAATAAGTCGGTGCTCAATGTTTTTATACCTACTTTTGTCATGGGTGGCTTGGACTCCAATAATACCGTCCTTAGTCATTAGGCCACTTGAAACCAATACCAATTTTGGTGCAGAATTATTTTCCTGAGACAAGAAGAAAATTTGAGAAACTTGATAGTTTGATTAAAGTATAATTTTATTTTAATGAATTGATGATTGAAAAAGTGTACAAGCCTTTGTTTATATAGACTAAATAACCCCCTAATCCTAACAATACAAGGAAACCAAACAATGTTATAAAAAGAGAAAGAAAACCAAAATCCTAAAAGGAAACAAAAATCTTATTATAATAGTAACCGATTTCTATCCAATTTATAATAGGATTGTCCTACATGGCATGTGACGGATTGGTGCATATGTTTTCCAGTAGTCATGACACAGTCGGCCGTATCATGTGATGTGATACAGTTTGTACCATATGCAGTGGAAGCGATGAGGCCAGTTTGAAGTTCAATCCCAAAGGCTAATGTCATTTTTAAAACTATTGTGCACACTTCTTTAAGTTTTGCAAAAGGCAACTTCCCTTTCTTATTTCTTTTTTGAATTATTTGCTTGCCATAAGAGAACTGTTCATTGGAAAACCTATTACTATAAGCTTTCTTTCTTGTTTCTTCACTCATATTTTGAATTGTGGAGAATTTTGTTTACTGCATTTTATCTCCAATTTTGCTTCCCTTGTTCTACTGTTCACCTTCCTGCAGGTGCTTCTACTGCGATCATTCTTGGAAGTCTACACAGTTCTTTCTGTCACGCTTGCTTGTTAAATGTTAACATGGAGAAATAGTTTTTAGTGTCCAATACGAAACATGTTTGGAAATATGGTTTTATTATATGTGTAATTTATGCTATTAGTCAGAGGCAGTTACTAGAATGATAAATTTTAGAAGCTGTGTATTTTAGGCCTACATTATATTCTAGAGAATTCATTTTGGATTTATTAAGGCTACTGTAGCTAGAATCCTAAATTCGACTCTTTCTATAAGTAGCTAGAATGATTGGACTTCCATGTTTGATTTTTACCAGTATGTAATTTCTTTCTGGGCAGGACTGGACCTTTCCTGGCCTTCTACTGTCTTTAATCAATATTTTCAAATAAAATAGCTGACTTTTTACTTCTCGTGTTTGACTAATGTTTTTTCCTCTCAGACAGCAAGCCCTAAACATAGTTTGTAACTGAATTACAGCAACTTGCCTCATTGGTATCACATGGCTTGTTCTAAACATACAAGAACTTGCAATTTGTTTTGCCAAGAAAGAATGATAAAAAAAATCCGTCTGTTCGACCATTTTTTCTGATATTTTTACTTTTCTTTAAGATTATAGAGTTAAACCATCTTATTGCATACCGGCATGAAAAATAGGATCGCCTGGTTTATTGCCAAAATCACAAAAACTTTGAAACTGTGAAGTTTTATCTGCATAGGCCTCCATGTATATCCACTCATATGCTGTTATGTTGTGCAGGTTGATGATCAACTTACGGTTGACAGCTTTTTGCAGTCACTTGGCCTCGAAAAATATGCCATTCACTTTAAGGCTGAGGAAGTATGTAACCTCTGGTTGTTTTTTGATTGCCTTCCACTCACAACGCAACCCTCCCTATCTTCCTTGCAATGTATGACTCAGGTGTTATGTCTGGGAATCATCTGTTGTTATCCAAAACAATAACACAAAATGAAGGGAAAAAAATCAGTATATGGTGAAAAATGGAAACGTTTCAATTATCTTTGCATAAATATTATGAACGATATTAAATTTCTGGGCAGGGTAAATTAAATGAACTGTGGACCCTGTGATTAATTTATTCATTTTCTGCTACATATGGTACCCCATTATTCAAATTCCTGTTTTCTTTGGTTGCTTGTATGTAAATTGGAAAACTACAGCCTTTATATGCTTGGAAGAACTGAGTATTTTTTTGTTCTGCAGGTGGACATGTATGCTTTGAGGCAGATGGGTGACATTGACCTTAAAGACTTGGGAATACCTATGGTAATTACTTTGCCAACTTCTAACTCTTTCATATGTTATTATTTCATGATGTCTTGAGTATTACGTTTTATTACCACACACAGCTCATCAACTGTATACTTGAAATTGGCAGCTATTGCTAATTGCTCACTGAATAATTATGTTGCCTCATAGTTGTTTTACGCTTTGTTTCGATGGTTGAATATAAATGTAGTTAAGGCTAAAGAATCAGAGCTAGAATATGGTAATACCATTCTGCAACTTCTAGATAATCTTCGTTTCATATGCTGAAGAATACTGTGATCAGTTCGATTACGTCTAGCATAATGAATGAGAGTCATGTTTTGCATTTCAAATATCCCATTCTTTTTAGTTATGCTGGTAGAATGTTCGCATATTGCAGGGGCCAAGGAAAAAGATCCTGCTCTCCCTGCTACCTCTTTCCAAACGACAAGCACGATAAACGGGCTGGATTTTTATTATCGTGTTAACGCGAATGAAGGAATTCTACTTTTGCTACCACATGCTTTTAGATGGAAGATTTTTAATGAGTCATTAGTTGCACCTTTCAGTTGTTGAAAATCAAAGTTGTGGCTGAGGTTTTTCTTATATGAGAACATATTTTGTCTGAACATGAGAAAAATTCTGATTCATTTTATATTCTCCTCATTTTGGACTCCATACATGCGGTGCACATTTTACAATTCAATTGAATTATGGACATGAGCTCTTTTGGCTTTGCTTAAAACACAGAAAGAAGGAAAGAAGCACAGCTTTCCATCTTTTTTGGGTAGTATGAATTATAAAAGGTGAAGATTTTCTGTCTTTCCAAAAGAAGAGGTGAATACTTCCATTCCATGTATGCCTCTCCTAAGAAAAGAAAATGTCCAAGATAGTTCTAGTTTCACAGAAATAAAAGGAAATAAATGATACCAATAAATTGATTTTGATTGTCAGTCTTCCTCACATGTATTAATGAAAATTGTTCACGTGTTACAATTTTGAGCAAGAATTGAGTTTAGTCTGCACATGAGGGGCTATAAAAAGGTACTTGTTGGTAGTGCTTTTAAGTTCTTATAATTTGTTTCTTATGGAATATATGGGTAATGGGTGGGTAGTAGGTTATGGGTCCTTTGAATTGTGTGAATAAAACACAGTTTGGATTATAATTTAAGCTTTGCAAAACATGCTCTCTATTTCTCTTAATTTGACCTGACTTGCTTATGGGTTCTTTTATTATCTCAACTGGAGAGTGGATAGGCATCCAGTCTTGTCACCAACCCCACCATTTCTGGAAATAATTTGTTTAAAAACTCTCTTTTACTTAGTCTCATTAATATATATATATCACGACAGGTGGCATAGGCATATGATTGAGTTTTATATTATATCAAAATTATTATTCTTTAATTATCATTAGAGCTTGTATGTATGACCAGAGAAAAACCTAGTCCACCAGCAGGACATATAAATATTACGGTCGAGTGTGCATTTCACGGTTTTGAGATGTGGAGATCAGCCCTAAAATTCAACGCTTCTAGGCGTAATAAGACATTTTCCTTTTTAGTAATTATTTTAATTATTGTAGATTAATAAATAAATAAATCATTAGTGCTTTGTTCAGGGTAGAGAAAGCCATGTTCCTAGGTCGGGTTTGGACTAGGATGAGTTTTTGTTGAACTTATTTTCGTTTTAAGTTTTAGTAATGGTAGAGCATTGTCAAACTGGACTGTTAAGGAAAATTGGATTCAAGAATTAGGTTTGATGACAACTTCCCCTCAGATTTGAATAATATAATCTCCAGATTACGACATTTGGTTAGTTAATATTAATATTTGATTTGATATATTACAAAATTGTGACTCTAGAAGCTATTAGTTAAAGAAAAACGAGACTTGAAACGATAAGAGGACAAAGAGAATTTGTATTACTTAAATAGTTTGAAACAAACTAAAATAGGGTAAAATTTTCTCCAGTCTCTAACCTTTTATTTGTGCCTAACCTTTAGAATTAAGCTACTTAAACAGGAAAATTTGACAGGGATGTGGTGAACTATGGTTCGCTTGTTTTTATTTTTTATTTTTAAATTTATCTATGCCAAGTCTTGTATGTCACTGTTTTCTGTCAAATTTTCCCGTCTAAGTAGCATGATTGAACCTTTTAATATTGACGCCTTATCTTTTTTTTATTTTTGTGATCGTGGGTGTTGTCCGGGTCAACTTACGTGCACCTCGACTAATTTCACGGGGTGTTGAAGTTTAATATTGTGTGCCTTATCTATACAGTTGAAACAAACTAAAATAGGGTAAAATTTTCTCCAGACTAACCTTTTAGAATTAAGCTACTCAAATAGGGAAATTTGACAGGAAATATTGATAGGGCTAACATGGCGAATTGTGATTTGCCTTCTTTTAAAAAAAAAAAAAAAAATCATCTTCCAATGAATAAATGCGAAGTTTTGTCTGTCATCATTTTCTGTCGAATTTCTCTAATTAAGTAGCATGATTTTAATATTGTGTGCCTTATTTAACGTGATGAAAAATGTATGTTTAGACGTTAACTGCTCGTGACGTGTGATGTTTTTCTAAAACGATAAAATTGCTCGAAATAATTTTCCTTTTGTTTCCGAAATCAAATGGCGCACGTTCAAATTATATGAATATTGCTCTTTTTGGGATAATTTCTGTCATTTAGGAATAACGTTGACCATTTAACAACTAAATAGACGATTTTCGTCCTATAGAATAACAAACGTACAGTGTTAAAAGATTGCGAGCATGGAATTTATGCTAACAATTACAAGAATATTACAAATATTTTTACGTATATATAACAACAATCAAACCAAACTATCAGGAATTGTATGTTTGGTTAAGACTATTTTTCATGTTATAATTAATAAATTTTAGATTCAAAGCCTAACTTTTACTTTTACTTTTACTTTTACTTTTTAAATTATGATTGAAACGACAACTTTAGTTGCTGAAAAACGTGCAATATCTAGAACATATATTGTATTCTTCATAACAAAATTAAATCATTCATTTAGGCATGCAACGGTTGACTAAAAATAGTACAAAAAGATTAATATGCTAATAGTTATTGATGCATATTCGTGCTTTTAAATTTCTACAAGAAATGTCAAAAAGTTGTACACGTGAAAATTTGCTTTTAAAATTTTCCTGTCAGCAATTTTATTTCAACATTTTAGAATTGTACAAACGAATTAAATGAGGACAAATTGTTTTTGTCACTTATTTCCAATGTTTTCGAGAACAGACTTGATATGCTTATTCATCTGGAAACGTTGAGAACTGATCTACTTTTATCATGATTGATTAATCTAATTTTTATAACACTGTCCGATTCGGTTTGTTGTTATTTCGATTGAATGATATATGGTAATCGATTTTTAACAATTCCAAGAAGTGACATTAGTTTGAATTTACTTATTGTAGTTTTTTATTTATCATTTAAAGTCACATTAGCGTCGCATGGACTGGAGTTATAACTCGAGTGAAGTTAAATAGCATTACACTTTTATTAATGAGAGTCTCGATACTTTTTTATAATTTCACATACATTATCCAATTCTTAATGGAAAAAACTGTGGCAAAGAAATTTAAATAAAATGTGTTTGAATTGTCTTTATGTAGGTGTCAAATCGTGCAACAGATGCTCCAAATTTAACAGTTAAATAAATAACCTCCATATCTGAAACCCACTTTTTCTAAACTCTTAATCTTTGAAAGATTCTTAGCAAATCAAATGAATCATTATCTTAATTTATATATGTTTGCCGAGTCAATTTTGGCTTTCTCTAGGTAATTAAGTTGGATTTCTCTTTTACTTACATTTTTCTTGTGATTGTACCCAAGAGATGTAAAATTCAGTGCATGAGAAAGGGGGCTCTTAGGGTGGGGGCCACCTCCTAATCCTCTTATGTAGTTTATAGATTAAAGGAATAATCATGCTATACCGTCAGAGTCAATAACAAATTTTTTTTCTAGACAATACTTGATAGATTTTCATTGAAAATTGAGATAAAATACATAAAAACGCTAGATCAAATGCTGCCAAATTACCGTTTTCCCCCTTTTTAATCCCTATTTGTTCAGTATTTTTGTTAAAGGAATTGAGAAGTAATCAATCTGTCACCGTTTGAGCCACATTATTGTAAAAATAAGAATGAAAAATATAATCGTTTATAGGCCCCGCACAAGAGATAAAAATCAAATATAGGGACTTGATGTGATGAATAACGATCATATATTTCATTTTAATGAGAAAATAATGGGACTTAAACAAAGCCTCAATCAAGAAACCAAACCCACTCACCTACCCACTATATGCCAATTTCACAG